GTGGGCGGTTAGAAAATTTTACTATTAACAGAGATACAAAAGTGGGCGGTAGGTATAAACAGGTTGACTACCCCTGGTCTACATTGTTGAAGACGATAGATCATTAGAGATTGTCCTTTTAAACATCTGCAATCAGTTTAGGCCATTCCCAGATGGCCTAATGCCACTTTGGAGTTAGAAACATGATTGGTAACAATGGAGACCAGAACAAGGTTATACTATTTTTGGCTAAGCCTGTTTTTTCTTCTTCTTCTTTTGGGCTAATTCCCCTAGTTCTAGAAGATTGCTTGAAAGATATCTTGAAAGAAGCTCTGTCGGGGGGGAAAAACCCCCTCTATCATTGTGGTTTTTCATCAGATGTTGTGACTATTTTAGATCTAAAGAAGTCCAAGGAAGTGATTAAAGAACAACTTCAAGATTTTGATCTATCAACAGACTCATGTGTCACTGCCCCCAAATATTCCCTCTGTTGCGTATTAAGAGCAATTTGCATCAGTTTATCATCATTCCACAATAACAAAAAAAGTTTATTTGGGCCAAATTTAATGCTGTTCCAAAAGCAACTTCGGCAAGACAAGTTTTGAAAATCCTGTGTGAGTGGAATTTTTGACATTCTGCTGGAAGAGGCTGAGTCAGCAAAGCATATACTGGAGCACTGTTCCTTTCATAGAAAAAAAAAAACACCATCTATTTATATCAGGTCCATTATGAATGTTCTAAGCTGGGATGGAGAATGCATTATATACCTCCCTGAGTGACCTTTTGATTGATGTTCCTTAAAGAATAGCCAAACTGAATGCATCAGCCAATTCTCTTCAGGTAACAATTAATCAACTCCTCAGAGGTTTATTTCTGATCTACTAAGTAATTTGTATAACTTGGTAGTAAAAATTTGTTATACTTTGTAAAGACAGAATTAAAATAAGCTTAGTATGACAGAGAGATGTTAGGATTTAAGTCATGTTATGTATTTTATGGTTCTACCACAAAACCTAATCCTAAACCTAAACCTAAACCCGCGGACGA